CACCTTGACTTCATGCTAAAAACACAAAGAGACATGTACCAAAACACATTGACTTCATGCTAAAAACACAAAGAGACATGTACCAAAAGCACCTTGACTTCATGCTAAAAACACAGACAGGTACAAAAACACCTGGCATCCTGCTAATAACAACAATAAGCAGTACGCTGATGTCCCCGTCTCTGAGGGATTTGACCAGTGAATGTTTTGTAGTTTAGTTTTACAAACATGCATTATTTAAATCCCTCAGTAAAAGGGGACGTCAGAGCACTTTATATTTCTTCTAACTTTTATTCTTTACAAATAGTTTAAACATTATCAAGCTTCTTGAACTCAGCCTTTATCTGAAACCAATTTTTAGGCTCAAAGATGGAAGCAGCCGTTAAACCTTTTTTCTTAATTCTAAAAACATTTCAGGCTTTCAAAGCAGAAAGACTCAACCGTACCAACGAAACAAAAGACAGACCAGAGGCTGGTGTGTTTCATCCACAATTGATCCCTGACCATGAAATGAGAGCGACAGCTGAGGTTTTAGTCTGTTCTTTGTGTAAAAATGGGGAGGGGGGGGTCATTAAGGAGACCCATGTGGTTTTTGTTTATATTAACATAAAATCACACACTGGGGGCTTAAAGGTAGAGTTAAACCAATATCATCCATCTGATTTCTTTGTCAAATAACTGGTAATTAGTACAAACATTAAATGTGTTTGTATAAACAAAGAAGCCAGTTTGTGGGGTTTGGTTTCAATGTTTTTATTGTTCTTTTGAAATACAGTACGTTTCATTGATTTCACCTAGTTTAAATAAGAATATATTGTTTTTAAATTTTTTGCCGTCGTGTTTCTTCTGCCCTTCTTTAATGTAATTTTTTTGTCCTCTTCTCACATTCTGATTTTTATGTAGTGATAAAACCTGCTTCCGTGAAAGGCAGGAAATCATGTAACTGCTTGTGTTTGTGCACGTGCTTCTTTGTCCATCTTTTTAGTAAAATATCCCAGGAACCAGTAGGCAGATTTGAATTAAACATCTGGAAGGTGATCAATGGATATACATCAGATTTTAATGACGTCGTTTCTTCTGGAAAAGAACAGGTGATGGACCCAAGCTCAGGAAACAAGAGTGCGACTAAGAAATATGACAGAAACTCGTCAAAAATACAAAACAAACAAGTTAAATTACTGTACCATCAAAAATGCTGACATCATTTTAAACAGAAACTAAATCCCACAAGACATGGACATACGGCCATCTTTTTACTTCTTCCGGCTGCTCCCTTCTTCAGGGGTCGCTACAGCTAAGTCGCACGAAGACTTGGCAATTATTTTTATGTCGGATGCCCTTCCTGATGCAACCACTGAACTACCACAACCCTCTGTGTAGAGCTGCTATCTAGAGCACCCGGGGGAGTAGATGGGGGAGTTAAGGGCCTTGCTCAAGGGCCAAGAGTGGGGCAAATGAAGATGGAGGCGGGTGTTTCACCTTTCTCACCCACGTTTTGATGTTGTTGCTACTGGGAGTTGAACCAGTGATCTTCTAATCACAGGCCCACCTTCTCTAACCTCTGTGCCACCACT